ACCACAAATGAATAATTAAATAGAGTTTACTCGTTTATTATTGTAACAAATTTTTTTATAAAAAAAATGTGACAAAACGAATAATTGTGGGGGAAAAAATATGGTTAATTATGTACACTGTAAGAAAAAAGGAAAAAAAATCATAGATTTTGTTGGGGAAAATCGGGTGAGTATAATCGTATAGTACATCAGTAATTGTTTGTTTAGATTTTTTTTATTCGGCGAAATGTACATAGCGTTTGGGTTTTTTACGGCTCTGCCTGAGCGCGTTAAACAAGTAGGTTTGATACTCAGTTTTTCTTCCATGTCTGTTGTAGTGGTGGTTGCTGGACGGGGTTGGTTCAGTGAAATAGTATGTTCTTTGTCAAGTTGTGATTCGTAGAAAGCAGGCTTTATTCTATCGATAGCGATAGTCTCTTTCTTTCCACACTTGTTGATTATGAAGTGTTTGTTCGTTCTTTTAATTACTTGATATGGTCCTTCATAAGGTTGTTTCAATGGCTTTTTAACAGCATCAACTCGAACAAAGACAAACTTGCATGTTTCTAGATTTCTGTTGAGTTGTATTCGATTGTTATGTTCACGAGGCGGTATGGCTTTGATTCGTTGCATGGTTTGCAGCAGTTGGCTAGCAAAACGACTTGGGTCCGTTGGTGTTAAAGTGTTTGGGTCCACTAGTTGACCTGGTAATGTAAGGGTTGTACCGTAAACTAGCTCAGCGGCTGTACAACCTATATCTTCCTTTATAGTTGAACGGATACCCAGGAGTACAAGTGGTAATGCGTCACTCCATTTTGTCGTATCATCTTGTGCCATCAGCGAGCTTTTCAATTGGCGGTATAATCTTTCAACCAAGCCGTTAGCTGCTGGGTGGTAGGCTGTTGTTTTGATGTGGTTCACGCCCAGAAGTCTTGTGAATTCCTGAAATAAGATAGACTGAAACTGGGGACCACGGTCGGTAGTGACGATAGAAGGTACTCCGTAATTTGCTATCCAACGGTCAAGGAATACGCTGGCTACTGTTTCTGCAGAAGTATCAGCAATAGGGCATGCTATGGCCCATCTTGTGAACCTGTCCACCGCAGTGAGAATATGAGTGAATGAATTAGATGGTGGAAATGGACCAACTATGTCTAAGTGGGTATGCTGAAAACGTTTTTCCGGCAGGGGATACTTGCCAACTGGACTGATCGTGTGCTTCTGAATCTTGCTGCGTTGACATTGTAGGCAGCTTCGCGTCCATCGTTTTATATCTGAATTGATTTTTGGCCACACAAAACGCTCAGTAACCAATTTGATTGTGGCCCTGATTCCTGGGTGAGAAAGGTCATGCAGTTGACGAAATACCTGTCGACGACATGCTAGAGGTACGAAAGGGCGATTGTTACCCGTTGAAACATCGCAAATGATAGATGTATTTGAGAAAGGGATGGGTACTGGTTTAAGGTTCAAGTTAGACTTCTCCTGGCAGACCTTCAAATCTGCATCGTCTACTTGTAGTTTTGCAATGGTTTCTAGATCGATGTCTTGTTTACGTAACAGGGTATTTACGTCCTTACGTGACAATGCGTCAGCTACGACGTTGGTGTGTTCTTTGACAAATTGGATATCTGTCGTAAACTGGGACATGTAATCCAGTTGTCGTGCTTCGCGAGGTGAATGTCGGTCGTACGATGTGTGGAATGAGTAACATAAAGGTTTGTGATCGGTCATGATGGTAAAAGTAGATAGCAAGTAACTCCCGTCCAAAGGTACTATAGGGTTCCTGAGCTGGTGACAATCTTTTGGAGAAAAACGCTATGGGGGTAGTCATATTGTTTACCTGTTGTTGTAATACTGCCCCGACGGCTTTTTGAGATGCATCGGTACACAGAATTAAGTGGGTTGTGGGGTCAGTATTTATATATTGTAGCATGGTGGCATTAGCTATCATCGACTTTGCTTTTTGAAACGCTGTTTTGGCATCAAAAGATAGGTTGAATGTCTGAGTCTTCTCTTTCTTCGTACCTTTTTTGTCGGTTTTCAACAGATCGGTTAATGGCTGTAATACTTCAGCACAATGTGGTAAGAAACGGCGGTAAAAATTACACATACCGAGGAAGCGTCGTAATGACTTCACCGAGGTTGGTTCGGGATAATTGGTAATAGCTTCAACCTTTTCTGGGAGTGGTTTGATGCCTTGAGAGTCAATGTAATGTCCTAAAAACTCTAAGGCTGGGACTGCGAATATGCATTTCGAAGGATTGATGACGACGCCATGTTTTTTAAAACGATCAAAAAGGGTCTGGACATGCTGGATATGCTCTTCTAAAGATGAGCTTGCAATGAGAACATCGTCGATGTAGGCAAATACGAAGTCTAAACCTCTTGTGACATCATCCATGAATCGCTGGAATGTCTGCGCAGAGTTTTTCAATCCGAATGGCATCCTTAGAAACTCAAACCAAAAGGTGTTATTATGGCTGTTTTCTCAATGTCTTCTGGTGCCATTGGAATTTGATGGTATGCACGCACGAGGTCGAGTTTCGAGAAGATGCATTTACCATGTAAATTTAACGCGAAGTCATGTATATGTGGAATAGGATACCTATCCGGGATGGTTTGGTTGTTTAATCGTCGATAGTCACCACACGGACGCCAATCTTGGTCCTTCTTAGGTACCATGTGTAACGGCGAGGCCCAGGGGCTGTTGGATGGTCTGATAATACCAAGTTGCATCATGTGTTCGAATTCTCTTTTCGCTACTTGCAACTTGCTTGGTGGTAATCTCCTCGCCCTGGCACTAATAGGTGGTCCGGTGGTAGTGATATGGTGTTGTACCAGCTGTGGGTTACCTTCCTTTTGGTAACCTGATTTCATAATGCACTGGTATTCTGTTAGAATGTCGTTGAAGATATTGTTCACAGGTTTCATTATACGAACACCATGGATCTCGTTGTCGTTGGAGAGTGTACAATTTACCTGTAAACGTGTGTTTATGTCGACTAATCTCTTGTTGGTCATATCAACTAAAAGGTTGTACGCACTAAGAAAATCGGCCCCGAGAATGGGTCGTTTGACTTCAGCAACTATGAATACCCATGTGAATCTTCTACGGAGCCCGAGATCTAATATAAGAGACTGTTCTCCATAAGTTTTGATAACTGATTCGTTAGCCGCTACCAAGGACAATTTAGTGCTTATCGTATGTTGTCTGCGTGAGAGATAGAGTGGGATGATGCTGATTTCTGCTCCCGTATCGACTAAAAAGTCTGAGCCAGAAATACGATCCCTGATGTGGAAAAGGCGGCTGACATGTTGGCCAGTAACAGCTGCCGCTATTACTGTCTGGCCACTCCGTTTCCCTGATGGTCTGACTTGCTTGTCGTGAAGTTGCACGGTTTTGTGCAACGACGTGCTTTCTCGCCATAATTCGAATGATACCAACACATTCCAGCTGCCCGCTTAGGTGACCTATGACGATGTCTGGATAATGATCTCCTTCTGGACCTAGATCTGGGGCGTCGAGAATGGATGGTGGAGATAGTCGCCTGCAGTGATGCTAGCTGGCGTGTTAAGTGTGTAATTTGATGCTGCATGTCAAGAGTAGGGTTCATAGCATCTCTATTGGCGGGTTGTACTGCGTAAATTCCCCGACTATCGGGATATATTTCTATCATCTTATCGGCCATGTCTGCTAAATCATCAAGACTGACAGAGGCTCCTGATACGCTGAGAATTTGTCTGACGCTATAAGGTAACCTTTGTAACCACATCTGCTTAAGTAATGCTTCGTCTAACTTGCATGAACCTGCTAGTTGTCTCATATGTCTAAGCAACTGTGAAGGTCTTTTGTCCCCTAACTCGCATGCGGTGAGTAGTTGCTGTAAGCGTTTTTCATCAGACTGCGAAGTACGGTGGATTACTGCGGCTTTTATTTTGTCATAGGGGTCCGTTTCTGGTACGTTATCTATCAGGTCTCCGACTTCTGCTGCCACCTCTATGGGTAATGCTCCACCGATGTATGCATATTTTGTCGCTTGCGAGCGTATACCTCTCGACAAAAATAATGCCTCAACCTGTGCAAACCAGATCCTGGGATTATTAACACCGTACGTTGGTAATCTTAGTTCCGAGATAGCGTTGATTGAGTTTCAAACATTATCCTCTGGTTGTGGAGAGTTTAGAAGGTTGGTCGGTGAACTATCAATATCAATAAGTTTACCCGGAGAGTTCATAATGACTAAAACAAAAATATGGTGTCGTGCCGATTAATAATAATAAAAAAATTATGTAGATATATATATAGTAAATGTCTATAAAAAAAATAATCGAGGCTCACCAAAGACATTTTAGAGAATGAACAATAGTGCTCAGTACGCTAATAGTCATTGAGTGGCCCATTTGTTTCACTAACAGAAATTTTGTATCTTAAGGAGCTCTCCATACTATTTGTATCTAGGCCTCCGAAGTGTTCTCATTTTTTTCACCCTTTGGGACGTTCCAGAGTATTTCAGTCATTTTGGAGTTAACAAGGAAACATTATCTTTTCATAATCAAGATCATGGCCAATAAAACTTCCGGAAATTAAGTAGAAATCTCCACCGGTAAGTTAAGTAAGAATGAGCTTAAAAGTTATCAGTTCAAGGTTTCCTCTAAAAGCTTGTTAACACATAGCTTGGAACAAGATCATACCCAACCCAATAACAAATAGAGTAATATCTACAGCCAGGTATTCACACAATAAGACGGAACATAAGTCTTGTATTAGTAACGGAATGATCAAGAAGTAGTTAATTAACAAAGAATCTGAATCCAGCAATATAGGATCGCAGTATGGAACATCGAAAGATTAAAACAAAAATGAAGAACAATTTAGAGCAAGCAATAAATGTAATAGCAATTTTTCGGGAAGGTGACTGGGTCACGAGGGCCTATATATAATTGCCTATATCTCAAATCCCTATCAAATATATTCAATAGGGAATCGATCAGCCGCTCGGCGCAATTTCCAACTGATAACTGCACGTATGTTCGTTGTTTTGTTCAGTGTTGTATCACTTGATACTTAACGATGCCTCCATTACGCAAAATGATAGCGAAAATAAAAGTTGAATTCAAAGGCAAAAAAGTATCAGCTGAAAAGACAGATTTCTCACTGTTACCTCTTCATTCTCGTGTATGTATATGTGCCGGCGAGACTAATTTCTGGACGAACCAATCAGATATAAGGTAACAAGTCACGAATTTGGGCGCGGAATTCAACCATACCTTTGGGTTAATAGAATTTTGGAATTATAGCTGATATCAGTTCGTGATGAAAACCCTAAATCTAATTTTTAACTATTCTGATTGCTTTATAACCCTTATTTGGTCCTAATTAGTGGTTGTTCACTCTCAAGGTCACTTCAGCGTCGCTCCGCGAGCTCACAATTTTGGGCAAAATTTGACCCATTTTGGGGAAATTTCGGGGAAGCCGCTGTAGTAAACCGTGGGAAAATGGCACAAAAACCCAAAAATTTCCTCAAACTTTGGGAATTTTCCCCGAAGTTGGGAGCTTGGGTCAAAGACCGTCCATAAATTATAGTCTCACCTATGTGCCCAATTTCAAGTTTGGAGAAACTTTCGGAGGATGCGATCAAAACCTTCGAAGTTTGGCTTGCCTTTGGCTTTTACCGAAAACTGCAGAATATTCTGCGGGAAATTCACTAAACGGTCGGGTTTCCCTCAAATATTTTGCCAGTTTGTAGAAAACTACGAATTTTTAAGGGATTTTGGGGAAAGCCGTAAAAGTCCCCTATAATCATGAAGCTGATCTTAAGATCATTTGCATCAGAAGGTTTTATGCAAAGATTTAGGCAGCTTTTTGTTTGTGAGTGTGTATATATGTACTTCAACCTAATTGCACTCAAGTTGACATAAATCCCCATACTCATATAACATATTAGTTAGTCCAGCTTATACACTTGTTTTCATTCACCGTTTAGATGCCTAATCCACCTGTTTGCTACTACTATCAAGCTGGTTGTTGTAGAAACGGGAACGAATGCACCTTTACACACCCGAAGATACGTTGTCGTACTTTTGCCTCTGATGGTTGGTGTCCTTATGGATACAACTGTCGTTTTTGGCATGATCCGTCTGTGAAACTAGGCGTTGTCAACATAATCAAAAAGCCGTGCCAATTCTATGCAAATAATCAATGTAAATATGGTGATAAGTGCAATTTCTCCCATGATATTAATGCTCAGAACAATAGTGGGATTACATTGGAAGAATATCGAGCCACAAAAACGGTGACAGGCGTGCACATTAATATCGAAGCTCAGGAGTCTACAACTACCGAAATGTCACACGACAGACAGGATGGTATTTCCGACGCATCACTTACGTCAGTTGCAAAATCTAATCTAATCACAACTTCGTCATCTACATGCCTTAACAAAAATAATCGTAGCTGTGTAAGACCGCCCTTCCAGAAATATGCTTCTGTAAACGCGATTGATTTTCAAGGAGCTTCAAAGGCTGAAATTTGTGATCTTAATCATTCTGAGCTGAAACGCCTAAAGAAACAATTTCCTCCAGACAAATTACGTGAAGTAGAATCAAATGAGAACTATCATATGTTTTGTGTCAGATTCTCCTCTACAGATCCCGACTGGGTTAGTCATTTTGTTGGTAAATGTAAATCAAACTTTACTGGTCACAGCAATAAATACTTTAGTTATTTCAGATTTGGGATTATCTTGACATTTCGACTCGCTTGGTCAAGAATGTCCCGAAATCTCGTGCTTACGACTACATGGCTATCCGTACAGTTGGGCCAAGAAATCTTGTCTTTTGTCTCAAAAGGTTTAGATAAATGGATACATGTAATAATATACGCCCAGCATCTTATATACTTGTAGGGGTACTGGGGTGTCTGCCTATTTTGGAAATTACTACATGGCTTAAACTTGCGAATCTTTGACTTGTCCCACCATCGAAAGTCAATTTTAGGACTGTGTTTTAAAATATACTCCATGATAGTCACAAATAAAAGCGTAACTACAAGACTAAGTAAATTACTGTTGTAGACAAGTATAACTTAGAATATTGTTTCTAGTACTAATAAGAGTAATTTTTAAGAAGCGACATACTGTCCAATATAAAGATAAGAGCTCCTCTCTTTTTATTTAAACCAAAGCATACTTTAATCCGATAAAATCGGAAATCTTACAATCTCTATCTTGAAAGTTAACATATTCTATCTCTTATTTCGCATTAATTACTCAAGGTAATATCACAGTTGTTTTATACATTTCCTGAGTACTGCTGTATACAATATGTGCGATCTATGCGTCTTCCTGACTACCTCATTTTTACTTTCAGAATATATTGTTACTGTTGCCTCACTATTTACTAAGTATATCTTATAAAATTTGTTTTTTACTTTGAGATTTTATCTGTTAGAGTTTTCAAAGAAACTTCTCAGTATGCTAACTTTATCGAATGAATAGTATAAAACGACTCTGTATTTCTAAGATCAGAGTGATAAGTATGCTATAAAAATACTAAGTAGTTGGCACGTGAAATTCTTTCACATTTGTGGTTAGAAAAATTTTGGGCTATCTTTATTATAGAACACCTCTAGCATCTGATATATTTTACGGCGAATGGGGTTTATAACGGAATTTTATGTGAGGTAAATGATCCCTCCCTCAACTAGTTATGCGAATGAAACGACTATAGTTAGTTCCGGACAAATCTATCCGTTATTAAATTTAGTAATACAGTTTAAATCAAGTATTGTAAATTGTAGGAAGTGGCACTTAAAAAATGTGCACGGAGAACTATCTTTTCTGAAAGTCGATATGACAGCACTCAAAAATTTGTCAATATCATTGCTTTTTTGTCTTTGGCTGATCAAATGAATTATCTATGAAAGAGTTCAGCCGGTGCACATGATCTAAACTTTCACTTTAACGGATGCAAAAAATGGTCAATAATTTATTGTATTGGATGTAGAATATTTTATGGCTTTGTAAATGTAGTTTGCTTTCTGTTTAAATTTGCCTCGTGGTCAACTGACGGTTATTCACAAAACCCAGTTTCTGACATAAGCCTCTGAATAAATAGATCTCAAGAGACTGCACAGTTGGTTGGGAAAAAAAACTTCGTTTTTGCTGAATAAGATAACACTTATGTACATATACGTACATGAAGATGATCGTAACTAAAAACCCTTTGAAACATTTTCGAATTCGGCCTGTAAGATTAAGACCTGACTGTCAGCGTCAGTTTACATCCGTCATATAATCTACATACTTTGAAACTGTTTGCAGCCTGTTGATTGCAATCACTACAGTTTAGAATTACGAACCTCCATGTAGTATGCTTGTTTGAATCTGTATTAGAAAATGTTGCACTTTAGATTGATAAATAAATTCACCTGAATGTATACTAATGTGGTTGTGTACGTACGTTTTCATAGTCAAAGCACCGGCTACAGGCAACCACCGATTCTTTATTCCTAATCTAGATGGTTAATAATTTGAATCATTTGCCACTTACGAATTTACCTACTCGGCTTCAAGTTACTTATTTTAAAGGCTAGTGATACTATCTGGCTATTCAAACAAAAACCGTTTAAGTAGGGTTCAAAATTGTGGTCTTGTTTCCGGAAACCAAACAGTTCGATGAAGCCACTACTTTGTAATTCTACGTTTTATAGTTCGAGTTCCTTTTGTTGTGACTTCCTCTTGAGGTCGTCCACGTAAAATGTGACCTGACATAATAGCTTACCATGACATCTGATATAATACTGTTTCTACTCGTCTTCTAGGTCTACGATGTTCGTGAGATAGTGTTGAATATTCTCATCCCACAAATGTATCCCAAGGAACAACTTCAAATTTCAGTGGTAATGCAAGAACATTTACCAGTGATCTTAGTTGAGTAAGTACTTATCTCTCTTTTTCAGTAATTTGCTTCATTTCTAGTGACCGTATGCATTTTAATCCATCCATATATTGTTTTTACGCAGCCATTTGAATAAAGCAATCGGTTCTTGGGTTAGATGTAAGCACCAATGTATGGAACGAATGAATCGTCTAGAGCTATACTTGCGTCCTCTCCTTTTGTGGCTTGATCGTAACTTGGAAGAATTATTCACTGAAGGATTACGTAAAGTAAGTTGGTTTTTATGTTAATTACGGAACAGATGTTACTTTGCGTAGTTGTTTCCGATTTTCTTTCCTTATTCAAGCGCGCATACTTTTCTAATTGGAGATAAGTTATGTTGAAAATCTGACGCTCATGATCTACTCAACTCATTGTTGTATGTTATTACTTGTTAACATCACCTTGATAATAGTGTTATCAAAAAATCACGGGTTTTGTCCTGTTAATTTCTAACAGTTCGTTTGTTATTTTGTTCGAAAATTAAACGTTAGACTAACTTTTAAATTGTTTATAAAAACGTTTGATTATCTATTAAGTTAAACGAAAGAATCTGCAGGGCGTTAACTTAGTAGCACACAAAACCAAACCAATAACTTCAAATGCCTTAGCCGACATACTGGCAGCATGAAATCAAACTGCGTATATTAATTCACGAAACGTGTGATCAGTATCCACAACTCACGATAACCAAGTATGTGAATTAGGTCAAATGATAAGATGTATAGCAAATTTATATTCGTGATCAAAGAAGTAACAAACAGATAATCAGTCAGTCAGTTACAACATAGGACCAGGCGCATATGTGCATCGGTCCAAGTTTCCATACCGCATTAGCACAAAAAGATGAACACCGGATTCATAAAAGTGGTTAATTCATTGGTGGAAATATATGAAAGAAAGATTGCAATAAGGATATAGTACAGGAAGAAACAATTATTTCGTAGAAAGAAGGATATAAAGCGATTTTAATCTCATATTTTAAGGGAAGACAGGGAGTGTATACACCGACGCCATTGTGATCGATTCTCAGCCATGTCACCAAGAGTCTCCAACCATTGGTTACGATAGTCACGCGGACCCCAACAATGTAGTCTGCATCTACCAACATGGCTCAGACCAGAAGTTAGTGACTTCAAGCACTGATGCCACGTTTTAGTTTGGCAGCCCCTAACTTTCTTCCAACCATACCGAACACCAGTTAGCATTGCACTTCGTGGTAATCGGTATTCGGGCATACGTAACACGTGGCCCAACCATCTCAGTCGATGAAGATTCACAACCTCATCTACTGCATTAATATCATTCCCTAATACCCCACGTCTAACCTCACTATTACTAACCTGGTGATCCCAGCAGATGCGAGCAATATTTCTAAGGCATCTGTGGTCAAATATGAGTAGCTTACGAATATCTTCTACTCTTAGTGGCCACGTTTCGCAGTCGTAAAGTAAAACAGAACGAACTGCTGAGCAATATACTCGTTCCTTAATTGATAGACGGTTATCTCGTCTTTGCCCGACCGCTGTTGCTACCTTGACATGGTGGTCGGGCTTGCCTATCGTGATGAAGCAACCGAGCTATACTGTCCTACCATGTCAGACAGGTCGGTTGAAGAGCGGTAAGACTAAAAGCAGCAACTCAAGGTCTGAGGGCGAAGTCGTACTGCTGACTGTAGAGGGGTGTGACAGCAGTAAGGTGTTTCCCTCGGACAACCAGCATCTGCAGCGATGCTGCCTTCCCACAAGGAGGGGTGGGGTTAGAAAAGGTCGACCCTAAAAATGTCACACCTCACCTTACCTCACGGATTTCCGTCTCCGGCGGTAAGGCCTTTTGAAGAACGGAGCTAACACATTAAAAACCTTCCACGAGAAGGCCGTGCGCGACCGGCCTCAAGCAGTTGTCCCTTGGGCTCTGCGGTCACGCTCCCAGGTCGTTAAGACCAACACTAATCCAATTTCCTTTTGAAGTTCCCCAAGAAATACCCTTCCACGGTGTGGGCAGCCGGGAAGTGATATCAGCTCTCATACCCGTAACAGCACACGAGACCAAGCTGGTCACATTCAAATCCTTCCTACACCTCCTAATACCTCTCGTATCTCCATGACTAACCCTCCTCACGTCTCTTTATCACCTCGCACCGCTAGGGCAAACGATTGGAGTACGTGGAACGTTATTAATTGTCTCCTGAAACCACGCTCTAAACTACACGTAGGAGCTTTTAACGTTCGAACACTGTGCCAAATAGGACAGCAGGCTTCCTTAGCTAGGACTTTAGAATCCCGCGCCATCGATGTGTGCTGCGTCTCTGAAACGCGCATACAGGATCCGAGTAGCGTCATTCATTTGGCCTCACCATGCCAAAATAAAGAACCGATTCGATTCACAATTCGTGAATCTTGAAGCCCTGATTCTGCTTCCCGTGGCCTCGCCGGTGTAGGTATAACATTGAGTCCTAGGGAAGAACTAGCTCCCTTAGAGTGGATCCCAGTAGACAGTCGTTTGTGCGCTGTCCGACTGAACGGAACAGTAAGGATCCGAAAAGATAGGGACATTCGTCGTTGCCTATTCGTCGTCTCTGCCTAATCTCCCACTGACTGCAGCTCAGACGATGTAAAAGATGAGTTTTACAGAAAGCTCTCCGACCTTCTCCGAAAAGCTAGGTGCTCGTATGTAGTAATAGTGGCCGGTGACTTTACTGCTCAAGTAGGTAAACTAAGCGATAGGGAAAGACACCTAGGTGGATCTTATGGTGTCGTGGCTCAAAGAACAGATAATGGCGACCGTCTGTTGCAGCTATGCTCAGATAACCGCCTGTTCCTTGCAAATACTAACTTTAAGCATAAGGAAAAACATCTTTTAACGTGGCGACCCCCTAATTCGTCCCAACTTTGGACCCAAATAGGTCACATCGCTATCAGCCACTGATGGAGGGGCTCGTTAGAAGACTGTCGCTCATTCTGGAGCACATGCTTAGATTCAGATCATGTTCTGGTACGAGCGCGTATTTGCCTGCGTCTTACTGGACGTAGGAAAGACTCTGCAAGGAAACCTCTTAGGGGCCTACCTAATGATAGTCAAGCTAAGAATATATTTCAGGAACAACTAGAAAAACAGTTAGGCAGCCATGTATGTGATGCCCACCCCGAGGCAGCATGGAACGATATCCGAAAAGCTGTGGGAACAGCAGTGATATCTGCTAATAAGGTAAACCACAAGGTTAGAGAAAAACACTGGATCTCAGCAGCATCTATCGCACTGATAGGTGCTCGGAAACTCATTCCACCTGGCTCTGAACATAATGAAGAGCGGAGTCAGCTTAAGCGCCAGCTGACAAGAAGTCTACGCAATGATCGTGAACAGTGGTGGGTAGCGAAAGCAAAATAGATGGAAAAGGCAGCGACGATAGGTAATAGCAGAAAATTATTCAGACTTGTTAAGGAAACCTACTGTTAGCGAAACATTCTCAGAGAAACATGGATATATTATACATTCTCAATCCAGGAGATTGGATCGATGGGCAGAACACTTTAGGGATCAGTTCAACTGGCCTTCAACCACACTTCGGTTTCCCACGATCTCTAGTCAACCTGAATGGCAAGTTAATGTAGGTCCTCCGACTTTTTACGAAGTTGAAAAAGCCATAGGAAATCTGGAGCGAGGGAGAGCAGCAGGTCTTGACAGGTTTACCCGTGAGGTTTTTAAGGATGGTGGTTCAGTATTAGCAGTGAGATTAACTGAGGTCTTAGATAGAATTTGGGAACTGGACGTAATCCCATCTGACTGGTCTCAATCACTGATTGTGCCAGTCTATAAGAAAGGACAAAAGTCCTCTTGTGACAATCACAGAGGAATCAGTTTGACTAATCTAGTGTCTAAAATATTAGCCTCAATAATACTTCGACGCCTAATCAAAGCCCGTGAAGAGCAGATTAGAGAAAACCAGGCCGGTTTTCGACCTGGACGTGGTTGTATAGACCACATATTCACACTACGTCAGGTCCTAGAAAATAGACACACATTCAGACGCCCCACAATGGTAGTATTTCTCGACCTTAAGGCAGCATTCGACTCTGTCGATCGTAAGGTTCTATGACAGTGTTTGTCACTGAAAGGAGTACCAAAGAAGTACATTAACCTTGTAAAGGTTCTCTACTCGAACACAACTGGTCGAGTGAGAGCTTATGGCGAACTGTCATCAGAATTGATTACCTCAAGTGGTGTTCGTCAGGGCTGTCCACTCTCTCCATTCTTGTTCAACTTTGTGGTTGACGTACATTTAGAGATCACGTTTTCCTCGTCTAGATTTCCAGGGGTTGAACTTGTACCGGGAGGTTCACTTGTTGACTTAGAATATGCAGATGACATAGTTTTATTTGGTGAAGACACTGACAAAATGCAGAGTCTTCTGACCACTCTAAGCAACAATGCAAGCATGTTCGGGATGCGATTCTCCTGCTCGAAATGCAAAATGTTGCTTCAGGATTGGGTGGCATTAGCACCCGAACTAATGATAGGGAGTGAAGTAATTGAGCGTGTCGATCGCTTCACTTATCTTGGGAGTCTCATCAGCCCTTGTGGTCTGGTGTGTGACGAAATCTCAGCACGGATACAGAAGTCTCGACTAGCTTTTACCAACTTGCGTCATTTATGGCGTAGGCGAGATATCCGTCTATCAACCAAAGGATGTGTTTACTGCGCAGCAGTTCGTTCCGTCCTCCTTTTTGGCAGTGAAACGTGGCCAGTAAGAGTAGAGGATATCCGTAGGTTACCAGTATTTGATCATAGGTGTCTTCGAAATATTGCTCGTATATCATGGGACCATCGAGTAAGTAACACAGTTGTTAGGAAACGGGTACTAGGTAAGGATGGCAAATCGATTGATGAAGTGGTGAAACTTCATCAGTTGAGATGGCTGGGACATGTGTTACGTATGCCCAACGACCGACTGCCTCGACGTGCGATGTTCAATGGTATAGGAGTAGGTTGGAAGAAAGCTAGGGGCGGCCAAACCAAAACATGGCACAAGTCCATGAAGTCACTGACAAGTGAACTAAGTCATGTTGGTAGGTGTAGACTACGTGGTTGGGGACCGCGAGATGATAGCAACCGATGGTTAGAGACCCCGAATGATATGGCTCAAAATCGTTTGCAATGATGCAGGTGCATCCACTCTTTGTGTCCTCCCAAATTCTAATCTTCTGAATTCTTCATGTCCCTTTTTTCCTCTTTCCAAATTTATTTCACTGGATTATACTCTTTAAATAACATCTCCAAACCCTAATCTCTCCGATTACTGCTTATACTCTTACTACCTCTACCACTACGGGATTTGAATCGACAAATGCATCTCTGTGCTAATGTGGTGTGGCAACTCGAACTGGTGTACGTACGTACGAAGTTCTACGTTGTTACTGACTGACTGACTTGCCTCGTAATGCAGTTTGATGATTTGCTCAATGTGTGTCCTATCCACTTCCAGTGTCTTTTCCTAATTTCCTGTCCTGGTAACCGGTTTGTTTTCTCCTATAGTATACTGTTGCTGATGGTATCCGGTCAACAGATACTGAGTATCTTGCGTAGATAATTGTTTATAAGTACTTGTACTTATTTGGTGATAATTCCAGTAGTTTTCCAAGTCTCAGCTCCGTACAATAGAACTGTCTCGATACTCGTATTGAAAATTCTGACTTTGATGTTGGTTGACAGTTGTTTTGAGTTCCATATTTTCTTCAGCTGTAGGAATGCGATCCTTGCTTTCCCAATCCTCACCTTTACGTCTGCATCAGATCAGGGACGTGAAAGATCCCAATTCTTCCAGAGTTTCTCCATCAAGTGTGATTGGATAGGTGTTCTCCGTGTTGTATTTGAGAATCTTGCTTTTTCCCTTGTGTATGTTGAAGTATACTGATTTAGAAACTGTTACTACACTAGTTGGCTTGACCCGCCTTTGTTGATGTGTTTGGGATAGAAGGACCACGTCATCTGCGAATTCCAGATCATCTAGTTGCATTCAACCTGTTCATTTTATTCCGTGCTTCCTGTCAAATGTCGAGGTCTTCATAATCCGGTCAACCACCAGATAAAAGAGAAAGAGGGGAGCAGGCAGTTTTGTCTGACTGCAGTTTTCACTTGAAATGCGTCTGTCAGCTGTCCTCCATACATCACTTTGCAGTGTCGTCTGTCGTACGAGTTCCGTATGACGTTGAAGATATCAGGTACTCCATAGTGTTGAAGAAGGTTCCATAATGTTCTCGTATCCACTCTGTCAAATGCTTTCTCATAATCAAGGAAGTTGATGTATAGTGACGAGTTCCATTCAACTGGCTTTGTCTGTGCACGACCAATCCTTACGGAATCTAGCCTGATGATCTCGAAGCTGGATGTCTACTGAATCTTTCATCCAGTTCAACAACTGTTGAAATTTTTTCCTGTTACCGATGGTAGTGTGATGCCTCTGTAGCCCAGTTCTCACATTTGCTCAGATCTCCTTTCTTTGGCATCTTGATGAGATATCCTTCTTTCCAATCAGTCGGCACTTGTTCTTCCTCCCAAATCTTCCTGAATGGGGTGTGAAGCATGTTTGCAGTTACCTCTATGTCCGGTTTTAGTGCTTCAGCTGTTATGTTGTCATGTCCTGTTACTTTCGCACTCTTGATTTGTCTAATAGACATCCTGATTCCTTCGATCGTTGGTGGAGTGACATCTATAAGAAGGTCTGTGTGTGCTGCTTTGATGTCCAGCAGACCCAATGGAGCTGGTCTTTTCAAGAGTTCGTCAGTGTTCTACCTAACTGTTCCTCTGTTCCTAAATTTCATTGATTAGCTTGCCTTCTTTGTCCTTGACCGGTCTCTCTGGTTTACTATATTTCCCTGTAGTTTTTTCGTTGTCATATAGTATTTTCATATTTCCTTTTCTTGCAGCTTTTTCCTCTATCGTTGCTCAGTTTTCCACGTATTTCTGCTTGTTGGCTTTAAAGTTCTTCACTTGCTTGTTTGCTTCAGCATATTCAGCTTGTGCCTTGACTTTCTCTGCACTTCTTCGGCTATTGTTAATTTCTGTCTTCTTGTTCTTCCTTTCTTGAATCTTGTCCATGGTTCCCATAGAGACCCATTCCCTATGACGATGCTTGTTGCGACCCAGAACCTTCTGACACGTTGAAGCTAGTGCTCCTTTGATCCCTTTCCTGTTGTCCTCCATCATAGTTTCTTTTCCTTTAAGTAGATCTTGTAAGGCTTGCAACGTGTTGGTGACAGCTGTCTTGAATTCGTTGAGTTTGTTATTAAACCTTTGTAATGCTGCTTGTCCGATTGTCTAGTGCTTCTCTAGCTTCAGTTTCATTTTGGCAACCACCTGGTGTTGATCTGAATCTATGTCATCTCTTCTCTTGTTCCTCACGTCTTCCATTGACCTTCTGGATTTTTTACTGATGTAAATATTGTCTATCTGGCTTCCCGTGGTGTGATTTGGTGAAATTCATGTAGCTTTGTGTAGGCGTTTGTGTGGGAATATAGTGCCGCCTGTGACCAGTTTATTGAAGACACATAGCTTCGCAAATCTTTCACAATTTTTGTTTCTCTCTCCCAGTACATGTCGTCCCATGATATCTTCACATCCAGCGTTGTCTGTTCCGACTTTGACACTTAGATCTCCCATTACGATGGTGAGATCCTTTCTTGGGCACATCTCTATGATTGATTGCAGACTCCCACAGAACTGATCCTTATTGTCATCGTTGCTATCATTATTGGGTGCATAACAACGGATAACACTCATTGTAATTCCCTTCTTTTGTTTTGAAGGATGCTTTGATGATCGTTGGTCATTTTATAAGTACATTTCGTGCTTCTTTGGACAGTATCAGAGGAACTCCCTGAGTGTGTGGAGTATTTTCCTCTTCTTGACCAGAGTACCGCAGCGTTTCTCCCAAATTTATCCTTCGCTGTTCAGCTTGGGTCCCATGGGTTTCTCTGATTCCGAGCACCACCAAGTTCTATCTTCTCATTTTCGTTGCTATTTGACTGGTCGTTCCAGTCTCCAACATTGCCCGAACGTTCCATGTACTTATAAAAATTGTTGCTCTGGTTGTAAGAGGGACATCAACCCCGTGACTTTCGAAGAATCTCAGCTTTCATCATGAAGCGTCATAAATCTTCTTTCAACTCACAGGACAGGGATTTAATGGTTTAAGTTATTTAGTGTGGTTAGCGTTTTTTCAACAAGGTTCTTTTCTATGGGATTTAGTTGCCGATCACACCTTTACCCAGTCTTGAGACCGGCAGTAACCCTGTAGCGGACGAGAACACAGGTGAGGACAATCGAATTTATTTTTTAACACAAAATTACAGGACTTAGTAAAATCCGAGAACCATACAGTAAATACTTAGTGTCAATCAATTGTCTCAGACGTCACTGTTCCCTCGTTTCCACAGCAATCATTCTCTGTTCTCGTTCTCTTTTCTTCGATCTTCTTAACCTGCTGCCAGATATTTCACTTTCGATTCCTGATACATACTACTTATATCTATCGACATCATTAGCACACACACCAGCCCTAGAAGAGCTACAGGCGGAGTTTCGTTTATATTTAGCAATAAATAAAAAACGAAAATTGTTTTTACTGTCGTTCCACCATTTAATCCTAATTGCTTTATCAATGTAATAAAGAAACGTCATTAAAGTGTTACTCCGTGTTTTTTTACGTATTGGCAAATTTAAATTGCTAATAATGATATCATTTTTCAAATGCTCAAATTTTTTTCAAATCAATAAGTCAGTGACCATACGTTAACCACCAACTGACGGATTAGTAGCCTGGAAGCTTGCAAGTGCGATTCTACCCACACGTTGTGGTGATGCATAAAATGGACGTATTTATTTTACTGCATACAAATTATTCTAGTTATATACAGAGGTGTTTCATGAAAGTGTCGCTTGTTGCATTTAAATCCAACTAATTTAACCGGTGTAATAGGTTTAGCTGTTCTTGTTTCATACAGTCCCATGAGCTATTTTGTTATGCTTTGTGTCTATGTTCTACAGTTATGCTCATATGTAGATTCTGTAGTGTTGAGTGGTGTACAAACATCGTTTGCAGAATCTTATTTTGTAACAAAATATTACTTTATCATAAATAGCTTGCAGTATAATGTATTATACTAGGTAGGTATCATTACCAGGGTTCAACTTGATAATTTCGAATAAATTGGTTGCAGATAGTATTCTTGTTTTGTTCCTTTGTACTATTTAAACTTGATTAATATTGATTTTGTTATTTATTTTCTGAAGAAATGGCTTACAGTAAGTCACGAAACATCAGAAAATTTAATTTTTCTACTCATCGTGATATTACAAATATATTTATTTATTTATATCATACTAGGTATTTATTTCCTTAAAATTTCATATAAATGTGCAGATTCTTTTATTTTTTATTGGATAATCATAACTGATTTAACTATTTCTTTTTATTTTCTCAAGTATAAAGCGTTTATAGAAAATGGAAATTTGGATCCAGACTTATCTTCATTGTTAACTAAAAATAATGCTGATGTTATTTCTCACTGCCAGTCAAGTAATAAGGATAATGACAGAAATTCACTATCGAGTTATAATAATGCAACTGGTTCGACTCCTGTTGTGCTTGACAGGGAAATTTTAGAAGATCTTAAATCGTTCAGCCTTAATTCATATTCTGATAGTAATCCATCAGTTGTTGAAAGTGATAAGACCCTATTTGAAAGTGAAATAGCTAGCAGAAGTAGAGCTTATAATAACTTTCTAACCCATTCAGATGAAGAAATTGTACCTAAAATATGTAACCTAACAAAAGAGAATGATTTTCCAACTGACTCACTATTAGATCATGATAGTATGATTGGTTTAATTCCTTCTGTTATACCGAAAGACGAATCAGAACAGACACACAATGGTGATCGAAATTCACATAATGGGGACCAGTTGTCAATTGGGAGTGATAATAGTGTTAGTTCACAAACCAGTGAATCGGTGTTAGAATATAGCAGCACTGATGAGAATGATCCTGGTAGTGAGTGTGAAGTTGTTGGCGATCCGCAAGTATCATGTGGAAATCTCCTTAGTTCTTCTTCACTAACAACTCCCGGTACCCAGAAATTATTAATGAGCGGTCTTAGGCTATTGGGTAAAGCAGGAACATATATACAACGTCGACTTTCTGTTTCTCTTCATTGTACGCGTTGTCGCTTATCTTTCCAGTGGCTTTTCACTTTTCATGGGGCTCGAGCTATGAATAATTTTAATGATCCGAATACAGCGTGTAGACTTTTGCGTTCACTCCCACCATACACAACTCATTGTGCACGTTGTCATCAAAAATTGACTTTACTTTTCCAGTCTAGTCTAGCACATGCATTCGACAACAATATTGGAACTCTACATTTAGATGGTTGTATTGCTGACGATGTTCCACCGAAACAGTCTGATGGTATTATTTTATGTACTGGATGCTTCAATTCAGTGCGAGTCACCGTGAGTTTTTTTGTGCTGATTTTTTATTCGTCATTATGTTTATCATATGAATAGCTTGTAAATTTCGACACAACAAAGTGGCATGTACTATAGAATAGTTCTCAACATAACTCTCTTTGGAACACTGAAAGGAAGTACTTTTCTTGAACTCATTAGATTGGTTCAGAGGATATTTTAACATTAAATATATGTTGCAAGGTTTTTATTTTGACAGAAATAATCTGATTGTAATATTCAAATAAGTAGAAAATCAAACTTCTAGTGTTCCGCGACTTAGTGTAACTTATTTCGTCAGAAAACAAATAACCTTTTGCAAACTGAGGTATGTTTAGTTAGTTCAAGGAACAAAGCATTAAAAATTTAATACATACATGTTGGACCACAACATAACATGTTATTCAGACCAAAGGTAAGGCGTATTTTTATGTATTTATGCGTTTGCAAGTAAGTGTGAAAGTGAACACATGTAGTGTGAACTACTTTTTAGCTTGCATGCACTACCCCTTAAGCGGTCGAATTCATAAAACCATGCACACTAATAGTAATCAACCCACTTACCAGTGATTAATTTCGAGAAGTCGTTTCTGGAGTCTTAGTGAGAAGCAGCGACTAGAGGAGTCCAATCGTGTAGGGAGCGAGGCAGATATCCACCAATGCTATTTGACGTTGGCTACGCAATATCGTAAATTGACTTAACTTAGGGAAACATACCACTGGATATCAACACAGTGGTATGAAGGCTAAGTGCTCGTCCCGTTACCTAAAGATCCTAGTGGGATCGTAGTTGTGTGCTATTGAAGAGTCCTGTTCTAGAGCCTCAAAACTCCCTCGTTTGGCCAAGGGCGGGGAGAACCCATTCTTCCTCTTGAAATGCTTTCATATAGCCACGTATATATAAGCACTGTCAGGGAAGTCCTACTCATCGCCTTCTTGAGGCGAGGGTGTTGTTAACAAAATTCAAAAGAAGAAAAGTACATTTCCGTCTCTTAAAGCTGATTGATGGGTACGGAGGTTCCATCTAAGGCAGTTTGAAAACCTTGATTCCAAACCAGTGATACATATGAGCTATAAGATCCTAAGGGAACAGGTGTCGTATGAACCCATTGTTGATCACTGGCTACGATGGAACTTCGTCTGCTAACACTGCGCTACTCTCTTGTAGACTAGACCTCTTAATCAAAGGTAGTCCCCTAAAAGGACCGCCTGTTTCGGTTTTTTCGCTCGGTCGGTATCTCAGGCTACACACAATTAATAATAGTTGCGACTGAAAAAAATCGTGCTAGCTTCAGTCTTCATTCTCTTAACATATGCTCCCAACTGTTTGGTAACTTTCGTTTTATCTAACATTTTTTCGCTTATTTATTCCCTTTTATTTCCATTTTGTGCATATCTTTATTTTTCAACTCATACATCAGCTGGCCAATGACGGAAATCCTATCCTATCTAAACGATCTGAAGCCAGCAGCTGGTCGAAAGTTGATCGCTACTACCAAATACAAATTTTAAACTAGCCTTTCTGAAGCCATGTATGCCATTCAAACTGCTCTTCTATTTATTTGTTTGAACACATAAATACTGGTACAACAGGGCACCAAATATATATACGCTTACTTAATAAGTCCTGAAGAGATGATAGGCATAAGGTTTATTTCAGCCTCGGCTTTTCGTAAGTCTGCGTCTCTTAATGTTGCCTCACTTTTAATTCATTTGAACTCATAAACATTGGTACAAAGGGCCACCGAGTACATACACACAAGTCACTTGATTTATGTGTGAGCTATGCTATTGCCCGGGTGCCCAAACCGAAGCAGGTGGTTTCCTTGGAGGGCCACACCCGGAGCCTTCAACCTAAAGGTCTGATCCACAAGACAGTGAAGCAAAGTCAGGAAATGCAGTCTCACGGTAACTGGTGACCAACGATTGGTTCATATACCCTTTGTTCCTTCAGGATCCTGGAGCCCATGTGCACCACTGGTTTGGAATCAGGGTTTTCCAACTCCCCTAGGTGGATTATCTGTGTCCACCAGCCCGGTTAAGGCGCCGGACACTCTCTTTTCGTCCTCTCAATTTCGTAAACAACACCCCCGTCACGAAAAGGCAGTGAGTAGAACTTCCGTGGCAGTGGTTGTATGCACGTGGCCATGTGAGAGCATTTAAAGAAGGGAGCAGACTCTCCCCACCCTCGGCCGTACCAGAGCATTTGGGGGTCTCACTGCCTTGCATATTTTTCTACTTTTAGATCGTAAGCTCGGGGAGTAGTTTCATAAGAGAACTGCCTACTCTTACCTCACTTTCCGGACCAACCTCGTGCGTACAATATTAAGCCATTATTAGCCCAGTAGAGTTTACCGGTAAATCATACGCCTTCCTTTGTATTCGAAGAAGCCACTTCTAATTAGTTCAATATTTTCATTATCGATTCGGTGGTTGTCCACTGATATATTTCGTTATTGTTGATTTGATATATGTTTTTAAGCTCTACATGAGTATGAAGTGCTCTTGTGTAACATAGATCTTCGTTGGAACGTGTTAAGTTTGTCTTCTTATTCAGTAAATAGTTAGTGTCAGTTAATGGTGCACTGTCTCATTTTTCCCCCAAAATAACCCTCTTATATACTTAAACTGTTTTTTGTTCATCTAACAGGGACTTGATTTTGACTGTCCTCTTACACGACGTTGCTTCAATTGTCACTCTTTGACTGGATTAGAGTTTAGCAAATTTCAGTTGGAATTATTAAAACAACCTTCAAATTGTAAGTACCGCTTAATATATTATATAGCAAGGTAAAAAAATATTCGAAAATTATATTTTGTGCTATTGATTAGTGTTTATACGCTATTTAATTTTGTTTTTAAACAGTTTTTTGGGTTTTTAATACTTCCTCTTATTCCCTTTTCAGATAATCCGAGAACAAATTCGCTTAAGTAAAACATGCGTTCCGCGATCTCGTAATAAAAAGGGACAGGAATGGGGGATAAGTTATAGATAATATTTTGGTAGTTAAAGTTGAAAACTGTAAATGAATGGTGATTAAGATTTCATTTGTTTGCTGTAGAGTTTAGAGATCCTGGCTTCTCATAATGCCAATAGTTTTCATAAAAGAGAAAAGCAGTCGTTTCATCAGTTTCATGTGTTGTGATATTTGCTGAAAATTTCGAAAGTTATCAAGGTATTTAATCAACTGATACTTCGTCCATATCAGACTTATTTGTAAAGTCATCCAAGATGAGATAATATTTCGTTACGTTTCATAAAATTTGATAGATACACTGATCTTTTATCGAAGTTATAAACTCGTAAGACATAATATGTATCATCAATTAGAGAAAGTCCTTCATTTGGCTGTTCACTTGTGCATAAAGTATCATGAAAGCTAGACCTATTGTCATAAGGATCAGTCTGAAATTGATAGTTACCGTAGTTTATTGAGATCAAAGCCTTTGAAAATCATTCACGTCCATGCTAATGAAACCTATCGAATTTCAGTACCGTCTATTTTGTATCTTACAACTTGTTTTTCACTCACTATATAAAGTAAAAAGTGAAAAGACTGTATACTACCTGGACTGTAATGACCGAAACTGTCTCATGATTGCGGTGTTAAAACTATAGGGAATTCGGGAACCATTGAGAAAAACAACACTGGCCGCTTACTTTGTTATTTAGGGTCCATAGACACTGTGATAAAATCTTAACTTACTAAGTATCATGTAATTTGGTCCTGAAAATTGTTGGCTTTACGAAAACTCGCAGTATTTAATAAAGTCGTTATTACTATTTCGTTGTGAAAAAGCTAGTGGGGTCCGGACAAAGACATGACATTTGTTCATAAAAACATTTCAGGCGGATACAACAAATTACAAAGTCGAATAAAATCAACTACATCAGAGTTATTGTTTCATGAAATCTACGGATATCCAGTGAGTATATCACTCAAACTGATGTATGATTTAAACCCTAATTTATTTTCATGTGTAAGTAATTTAACCTGACTGGTACTTTAAAAAGTCATCTGGCGTTAACATAACCTTTAGCAAGCTGAAATATTCCACTTATTCTGATCAGTAAATAATAATCAAAGACAAGATAAATCATACAAATTATTTCTTCACTAATTGAGTTCACGCATAATGTAATACCCTACCTTATTATCGCTTTTGATAAGTGTTTTTGGAAAGGATTCTGTTGTTTTGCCACTTACCACATAAAAAAAATCACTGATAAAATAATGATAATGACAAGAATAATTTACTAATTTAGTGATAAATTTATTGCTGTCTCTCTGGATACATAAATCAGGTTTTGATTTTTTATTGCTGTTATTTTGACAAACCGAAGAGATGCTTCATTTTTTTGTGTTGATTATTTTGAATACGTCACTTACATTCACTTCATGTCTACTGTCGAGATGTTTGGCAATTACACTTGTGAAGACTTTATTCTTTTTCAGTGTTAGGTTCAGAAAAATCACTAACATAATTAACCACGGGATAAGTGTCGCATTGAAGGTTTCTTACCAGCCAGCAAGGCTGACGACGCTATTTGAAAGGAACTGCTCTCTCAAACAAACAAAAATTAACAGGTCTTCTTTTCTCAGTACCTCCAACTGCATTTATCAATTTACATGTACGTGCCAAAGCACATACATTAGTATAACAGAGAAAAGAGTGCATGTTGGCATTTTCGAACACATTACAAAGAACTTGAGACCGAGACACAATGGCTCTATAGAGTGCAATAGCTTATGAAATGTCAAGTAAATGCCTTTATTTGTTATTGTTTATTCCTAACACCGTACTACTGTTTATTCCCATAAATTATTGTTAGCCAAGAGTGTGAAAATAGATGGCACAAACCAAGATTTGTCTTCTCAAATTTCCCGAAGAATGCGACGTACAATGAATTCAGCTCAAAATACACTCATCCAGGATGGATCACCTTTACCAGCTTATGGCAGCTGTAAGCACTATCGCAAAAGCTATCGATGGCTGAGGTAAGTCTAACATGCATCCCGTCAATGTTTGCTAGTCTTAAGCGTTTTCAACAACCTAGATTTCTATGCAAACTTCGGGCTAGAAAAATTTCAATCGTCGACCTTTCTCCATTCTCAATTTGTTTTCAGATGGTACACTGTTGAACAAACAATGTAGGCATCAATCACCTTGAATTACTTGTAATTAAACATTTAGGAATCAGCTTGAAAAGTTAATTTGGTGAAAAACCTTTCGATCTCTCATACATCCAAAGTGTATCCGATGTGGCATTCATAGGATTGTGGTGGTCGGTATTCGATATAATCCTTAAACTTCGTATACAGCTCGTCTTGATAACCGTTCTATATAACGTCCCAACGGTATATTAATCAGAAGACAAATACGAAGTGTTGATTACGTTTATTACGAGACCACACACATATATCCAAATGTACAGATGCGTTAAACAAGCATAGAAGAGTTGTGCTGAAAGGCAAGCAAGCGAGCGAGAGCCATAGCAAAGCAATTTTGACACGTATGGAAGATGGCTGGGAAGCCAACTCCAATTCAAGCCGGGCATTACTCAATATTTATAGGCAGACAAAATAAACTACAGACATGTGATGAGTCATGGGACATGAAGTGTACACACACATACGCTCATATGAAAACAGTCAAGGCTAATAAGCGAATGATTAACAAGGTCAAAACATGACTCAGGCAGAATGAATAGAATGGAATGTCCGGAAACTAGAATAAGATATATTATGGGCTAAAACTAATGACTAACACTACAGGATAACAATTAGCATCCGTATGTCTGAAATCAGAAACCTAAGCAGTATTGAAAAGAAGTTTAGTTAGCTAGACTTGATAACCAGTTTAACATTTGAAAAGTAGTACGCTATATATAGAGGACATGGCAGCTTACGTTTGAAACGAATGCTAGCAACATAAAAAGTTACACAACGTTCACAAGCTTTATTATTTTGTCTTGAGAGAATAAAAGTGTATACAGTCGGCAAAAAACATGGCCTTATTGACAACAGTATTCACTTGATTTTGTTTTACTTCTAAAAGGTTTCCTTGTTGTGGACGTCTGGAACCATGTGATGTCTGTCATGATAATTCTGCTGTTGATGGACACGAAATGGAACTGGCTACTCGTATGATTTGTGGGTTTTGTTCTAAAGAACAACCATTTTCTACTAACAAACCATGTGTAAGATGTGACAAGATGCTATCAGGAACTCGATCTTCACATTGGGAAGGTGGGAAAGGATGTCGTAATCAAGTAACTATGTCTCGAAAAGATTCAAGAAAATATTCTCATGTCAACAAGGTTATATCCAAGAAGAAAACCAAGCGAAGTAAATGATCAGTACATTTAAAACCGTTTACAGCTCTTTACAAGATTCAGTATAAACATGTATTACTTCAAAATTCGCAACATATAACAGCAAAGTAGTTCTAAAAATGGAAATTATTCTTTCTAATCTATGGTTCTACAATTAGTCGAAACTATTGTTCAAATACATCTCAAGAAATTATAGAATACGGATTTAAGATTTGCCTTACATATAACTATTCTCTCGAAACACTAATATAAACTCATTTCTGTGGAACCTGATGGTAATTTTTTTAAAAGAATATTTTTCTTCCACGTGTTTCAAATAGCAATTATTACCCACAGTAAGTTAACATTTCCGTGATATTCCAGTACATTTCTTTGTACATTAAACTTCAGAAAACAGAATCTAGTTTATGAGTTTAAAATATCACTTCCCTATGAACATTTATTTTATATTCATATTTTAAAAAAGATTATTGAATTGTCAAACAGGTTCATTTTCCTGAATATTTTTTATTGTTTCAAACAACCAACTAACCATATTGTTTTATTTCTAGTTTCTTTATGTCTAAAAACATGAGTTTTCTTTACAAACTTCTTCCAATTCAATATCATGATAATCCTGGTGACAAAGATTTTATTTAATAGAGTATTCTGGTATTTACATAATTATTATGATAAAGCTCTTTTTTTATCTCCGAAAATTTAATTTATATAAACAAGTTGTCTTTATAGGAATTCAATGGTCTGATTATTTGATTTCTATAAATTTAGTATTATCTAGTAATATTTGAAACAATGCATCCAAATAAAAACTAAAAATATGTCAAGAATCTCCGCTTAACCAGTATATTCAAATGTAAAATACAAATGTACAATAATTTAAACATAAAGTCAATAAAAATGATTAATTTCTGCTTTAAGATTGTATATTAAAAGTAACCTAGGTAGTTTGATAGTAAGTTTTGATAAATTTCTACAAATTATTTAAAAGTTGTCTTTTTACTTAAAAAATATTTTTCGACTATGTTGTGGCAATTTTAAAAGAATGAATATAACATGATGCGTCATTTAATAGCTAAAAAAAAGTTTGCACATGTTTGCCAATCTGTTTCTATAGCATATATGAAATGTACAAGATATGGAGATGTGTAGAATGTTATTTATACGTTGCTTTTCAAAATCAATGGACTGTTTCCGCAAACGAGTGTGTATAAATTACGGAAAGCCGACGCATGATTGCTGGAAAAAGAGTAGTAGAAGAAGGTTCATTATTTTAATAATGATATTATTTGACTTTTCTTACTTTGATTAAATTCATAGTAAAAAAAGGAGGTTAGTGATGATTTAAGACGACTACAAATTACAAAATCTTTATTAACCATTTGTACACAAATATGCTTTGTGAAAAACACAAAGCACTCTTGGATATAATATTAATTTAACAGTGTACACATGCGACAGTAAACCATTGCTTTCATCAGTGTTGTAATTTTTCTACAATCCTGTTATGTTCGTTAAACTTGAATGGTACTACTGATTCGTCTTACTCGGAACGGAACGAAGAATCAAGGATTCAGAGACTCGATAGGCTATACTGGTCCGTTGTCCCCGACTCAGCTAACTCGACCCAGAAGTCTTGGTAAGATGTAGAAAGTGTATTCTACAGACAACCAGAAGATACCAGGTCCATCAAGCGTATTTATACAAAATATATATAATCGATATTGCCATGGAAGTTTTTAAACATTTAATCGATTAGTTCGTCAATCGACTATGTGCGTGGGTGGTAAGAAATGCCCAAGCATACATCTGCATACAAGCTCCACAAAGATAAAATTACAAAATGAGTTTTGGGGATCTAACGTCCCCAACAAATCCCTAAAAAGTAACAGTCGTGCATATTTAAACAACGGGGATATATGTCGATAATATTTTACGTTAGAAAGATTTGTCAATAGACAAATGTGATATAAATTACTTAACAGCATATTAACTCAAGTTACAAGGACTTATTCAGATGCGATGCTCCGGGATGAAACGAAAATAATAATGACATTTCGGCAGTACTCAGGTGGATGTTATTTGCGAATTAATTATTAAAAGAAATTAATGCAAACTGCTTCGGAAAAAAGTGCAATTGTTAGCAATATAAGCGTATCTCAGAACCTTATTTTTATTTCAAATAATAATCTATTTTGAAGACACAGTACAGCGAAAACTTGAGAAGTTGATTTCATCTCTTGTTAAAATACACTGTGTTAATTTATATGATTTGGGAAGGAACGAACAAACAATTATTTAATGAATTTTGAAGCATGCTTTTGTACAGTTACCTAAATGAACATGAATTTCTTCATAAGAAATGAGTTAATGTAATTTTTTATTTACACGCATTGAGAACTTTAGATGAATATTTGTGATTTAGTTAAATAAAACTTGAAATTTTTCTATATGATGTCATCCTTTTAAAGCATTCTTGGCTGATGCATGGGAAAGGAGTAAAACAAATGAGTGTTACATTAACACGTTGGTGTACGATGTCATGAATATACTTATAATTTCAGGAATACTGTCTACATTTGTTAATATAATTCGACAAGACATAAATAGATTAGGTATACGGAAAGCATGGCTTCGTTAGTTAAACATACATGCATCAAGTTGACTAATTTCAATGGCGAAAAGGTGTTATTTGACGATCCAGGTAATGCATAAAATATCTGGTTTATAAATGCTTTTTTTGCCAAAAGGGGATATTTAAAATCATATTTGTATCACAAAATCAATTCGCTTAATTAACAGCAAAAAAGACTGATAGATTAACCTTCTAGTGGTATCTCTTCAAATTCCAGTATTATTATTCATAAAAATAGAAAAGCAAAAAACCGATAACACTATTTGCTATGAAATGTTTAAGTAGTAACCAAGTTAAAAATGTAACTAACATGAGAACACATTTCCTCATCAAATGATCACAGACTTACATCGTTTTTGTGAATAGATGATCCACAAGCAAATTAGGTAGATTTGCTTTAAAAGTGTTTAAAAGTTCGAGTTCTGTTTGGACAGATTCAAGCTCACTCCAAAGGTTTGTAAATAATAATGCTTGTTTCGCGCTGCCGTTGAATACACACATTTGAGGCCATGCCGTTAACGCTAATAAACGGGAAAATGCTCCCGGAGTGCTAGGACAGTTGCCTTCGGTTTATAAAAGTGATGAAAAACATTAGATATATCTGAGAAGACGAACGTTTACTTGAATCAGCAAAACCATAAGAATTGTTACTAGTCCTAGAAACTGGGACTCTTCTTTTATTAAAGTTGAGCAAATAAGGCTACTGAACTTTCCTTGTCTGGTCATGCTCTGATAAGTTTCTTGAGTACTATTAGTGTTTTAATCACATAGTTCACATTCATCCACTTTGTATAGCTCTCAGCATTCAGAGTATCATCGTTAATCCGGGGTAAGTGGATCTTTGGTTTTCGAAAAATTTTATTTGGACGCTTACTATTTTACATTATATGTCATGATGATTGACGGAATATCAGCAATTAGAATACGTATCTGTCTATATTGGACTTATGAGACTACAATTTGGACGTTAGAAAATATAACGTAATGTATTATAAGTGGATTTACTGTATCCGTTTTATATTAAAATATTGCGATCAACTGATCTTATTTACTGCTCAGTATTAAAACAGGATGGAACAGTTCATTGTTAAATCGTCAGTTGCTGCGGAAATTAGTATAGTATTTCGGTTCCGCACTAGCACATATATTAATGGAAAGTAAGTTTCAATTACAGTATATGAATAGACTATGTTTAGGCTATAAAAAGAGGTCAAGTAGTAGCAGCGTTTGTACTTGTGAGATCGCAGCTGGCTACAAATTTATAAGGTTAAATATGATTTCCCTATAGATCCTATATTTCTCCTAAATAGGAGCTATAAAAGCTTAGGGTTGCCAAATGTGTTTTCACAATTCCTGCTCTACAACTGTATTATCGATTACATGTATAAATTACACAGTCATTAAAAACCTGATAATACAAGTTTCTAGGGAACCCCTGCCAACTTTTTCTTACTTTAAATAGAATCATAGGTATATGAAACGCAATTCGGATGTGAAAGCAGTGATTTTCTTACCTATAGTCAGAAACGCTTCATATGGACTTGGAGGAGCAACTAGTTTAACTGGGTGTTTTGAAGCAAACCAGGCACTTATGGGATCATTATGAGTGAGAAGATCATTAAGGACATTCGTTGTTGACAAGTCGCTTGAATCAGGGTTCACCTTTGTCATCAGTAATTCCAACAGTTTTAAAATGAGGCTGAATCTTGAAAAAACGTACTGAATCCAATTAATTTCATCTTGACTGACTTTCTGTACATCTACATACAAATTAGTAATCAAAAGATAACTAGATATTGGAATTCGTGCGAAAATCAATAAGCATTCGTTGACAGAGTAATAACAAGGTTTGCAGAATAAGATGGGTTCATTCTGCTTCACAGTTTCTCACCAACTGCATACAGCATAGAACTACAATTACTGATATGAATATAATTATTAACAAATGTTTAGCATTCTTTAGTTTGTAAAGTTCAGACAAGTGTTCAAAACATAACCAAGATTGTAATAATAACAACAGGGATACAAAGTGTGTGAATAAGCATAGTTAAGGCCGTCGTGTGTTTATATGTTGGGAAGTATAATAGTTAAGGGGTTATGTAAGGGTAATAAAACTAGTAATTGATTGGGTGATCGCTGAACATGATAAAATAAACAAATGTGGGAACAGCCATCAGATTATGTAAGAGATGAACATTAGAAGACGAAAAAATAATAAGGTGGGGTACATGATTGAAAAAAATGAAGCTGACGAAAGCTACTAGACAAATATCCAATCACCATGGCAGGGAAAGGCTAATCAAGCTTTCCTTCTGTATACATAGGTCAGGTCGGGGACATTTGATAGCGATCGCCTCTGCAAAACGGAATAAAATATGTTCCCCATCTGTTGATTATTTTGAAAGTGTCTTTTACATTCACGTCGTTTCCACTATCGTGATGTCTGGCAACTGCATTTGTAAAGAGTAATTCCTTTCAGTCATAGGTCCCTAGGAATACGTTCAGAAAAACTTGTAGAGAGCCTTCCCTCTGTCCTTCGTAAGTACATGTAGACCATGGGACCACTACTAGGGCCTGTCTTGGCCGATATATTCATGGCTAGACTAGAACAAACGAGACTGAAACAGTGAATCCATAAACAGCATACTACACGAGATATGTCAGCGATACGTTTATTATTTGTGATAACATGGACTACCGTTCTCGGTTACTTAGTCACTCCGAAAATAACACAACGAAAGAGATAACCAATTCAGTTTTTTAGATCTTAGTGTAAAACGGAAAAATGATAGACATCTTGAGAAAAGCATATATAGGAAGTAAACATGGATAGGACAGTATTGGGACAGCTTTTATCTTATCAGTAACAAAAAGTGTTTGGTCAGAACGAGTTTTTATCGATATATCTCGGTGGATAACCATTTTTGATGAGGGTCTGTCGAAGATAAAATAGTTCCCCATATATTATGTCATTGGAACAAATTCACCTGATCCTTGAGGATAAAGAATGAATTAGGTTCCTTTTCTACTTACTGGAACCCAACTGTGGAAGTTCGTGTATTGTCCATTCCAAGTGGGTTTTCTATGTATCGATCTCTGTAATAAACCGTCCGGTATTCTTCTTAAATGGTACCTAGACCACATGACAAAGCACTGACAGCAGAGAAAAAACTCTAATTATGAATATGGAATTTAAGGGAGATACGGCTGCTGAAATCCTAAATAAACGGATTTCGAAATCATTGAATAAAACATTCCACGCAGACAAGCTTCGAATCATCTTCTCTAGCCGACCTACCATTCTGGGTTGTGTTAAGGACAAACTTTCGCTTTGGGCCACTTCAATGTGTATCTGTAAATTTACTTGCTCATGTGGGGCATGTTACATAGGCCGAACAAAGCGATCATTATCCAAACGCATCTCGGAACATTATCCGGCCTGGCTCTTGAAAGGGGAACGAAAAACAAACACGAGTTCGATACAGGAGCACTTAATCAACTGTGGACATATCGCTCCAAAAGACTCTTCCTTTAAGATAGTTTACAGAGTCAAAGGAACTGGATCGAAGGGGGTTCGAATCAAAATTTTATGCACCGCAGAGGCATCGGCAATCCACAAACTAAAGCCTGAACTTTGCGTGCAGAAACGATTTGTCCAACCTCTCATCCTTCCCTGGCCCTAATTCCCTCAACGGGTATGTTTCTAGGTGTTTTTGTTTTGTTTCCTGCACTTTTATTATTATCTATATTTTTAAATTACTATTTTGCGCTTTAAACTCTAATCATTTATTATTATTACCTTGTACAAGTTTTCTTGATTATCATTCAGTTTATTATTATGATCTTTGTTGTTTTGTCGTTTTTCTTCATATCTGTCAATTGGACTATTATCTGCCCCATAAATTTTGTTCTTCCTTACCCCTTGATTAGTACGTTAACCTCATTTGTTATTTATTGTCGAATCCATTTTTTGTGATGCAATCCTTTCTATCCTTCTATAGACATACATTTTCCATATAACTATATATATGAATGTAAAGCTTAAGTAAATGATTTCGTCGAAAAGAAAATTTTCTTCGCCGAATTCTCTTTTTCTTATTTAATGACACCACGGGTTATTTTAATTATCCAAAAAATGGGTACCCGAGGTAGTTTATTACATTAAGACCTGAAAAACTGGATTGGTTATCTCTTGACATTTTTCTCTTGAAGTGGGAAAATTTATATGATATCACTACATTAAAAAAAACTCATATACGGTTATCATATTAATGATTATAATAAAACATGTTTTTCATATTGTTGGTTGATGAATCATGCGTTCTGAACTTTAATTTATAAGTTTCTTACAAAAAGAATGTCACTGAAATATATTTTTGCTGTGGCAAGCAGATTCTATACGTCCCCATTGAGGTGTGGAATAAAGTACCTAAATACACTCTTGTGTGTATTTGGCAATTGTTTGGTGGTAAGGACAGTTAATCTCTTTTGTTGTAATGGTTATTCAACTTTGGTGAAATGTGTTTACTCGTTTCATATCGCTACAATACATAATTTTTACTCCTTACTAAAGCTCCGCGTGTCGCATAATTGCTGTATTATTTTGACAACCAGTTTATTTTTTAAACATTCATTTGAACAATTTGGTATTATTAACTGGAGTGACCAGGGTATAGCAATTTCAGGTCGCTTTTTGTCTAAGAGAAATAAAGAAACCTAACTTTTATTATTGTTAGTTTTATGCAGAATTCCTGTGGTATTAGCCGATATTTTTATCGACGATGTGAGTGTAACCATCCACTTTCGAATGATATTGAAATTAATGGTGACCCTGGAAAACTGAGTGTAAATCCATCAGTCCGTGAAGTGATTTCGAACGAGCAGAGTCACTGACTGCTGAATTTTATATTCGCAAAGATTTGCAAATACTATATATATATATATATATATATATATATATATATATATATATATATATATATATAACAATGTAACTCTTTTTGGAAAGGTTAACTGGAACACAACTAGTGAGGGATCTAGCTTACATTAAATCAACTGGGACAGAGAAGTACATTCAAAAACATTCATCTAACGGTTTACATCTTGTTAAAATTAATTTAATTCACGTAAAAGTCGCTTTACATTAGATGAAGAAAATTGTAAAGGGTGACGGGCAGAAGCGTTGTGTATCTAATCACGAGCATTAAGATGAACTTCGTTGAAATTGATGTGAATAAGTCGGCTTACAATTTCATGTAGTAGTACAATGAAACGTATGGAGTATATGAAAGGGACAGAATATATAACAGCAAAAAAATCATCCGGTTCTCCGGAAAAAGTAAAAACGGTAAACCAGAGAAAATGATCCTTTTAAAGTTCATTTGCATTATTACCCTTACGTCTTTTTGAACCGGTGACTAAAACCATTTTGAGTTTTCTGACACGACTTAGCAACTTTATGAAATGCTGTTATATAACTATTCTAGCCAAATTGCAGATAATATTACGTTTTCGGGGTCGGTGTGCATAAGATGATTATTTTATCAACAACCACAGCTGCATTAACCTCAGTGAGCTTGCAAGTTCTGATTCACTTGTGTTAAACCTGTAAAGCTTAATTGTACGCGTATTGGCCAAACGAACATTACTCAGTTGTACCGTAAGGAAAAGAATAGTCTATCGAACTGATCACGAAAAGTTTTATAAAGTATACGAAATTAAAATTAAGTAGTTTTACATCTTTTACGAAAGTGATACAACCACATCTTCAAAATTTAATAAAATAAAATTTTAACAGCTGAAATTAATCTATTTAGTTGTGATAAATAATACTCACCAATGAAACTCACAAGACTAGTGAATTTTTCGAACAAAGCGATGGCAAGGTCACACTTTTGAATAGCAAAGCACATACTAGAAAACAGTTTGGATTCCATGGGGATCTGAGGAAAATATTAAAAAGCAAGGTGTAGAACATTGACGTTCCGAAAATTCATTAATACAACACTGTCGAAATCATAAATATAAATTAAAATTGCAATAACTGTGGCCAATTACATAATTTACGTTGGGTTTTCACGTAGAAGCTAAAAAATATAACTGCACATTTATTGCCGGTAAACCATTACACTTTATTATGACGAAAATGATATAGACTTTAGGTGACAAACCCAAGAATTTAAGAATTAAAGTTCTCTCAAAACTTTCAGTTTGTATTGTAAAAAAGTGGTGCAGGTGTCCTTAAGCCTACTATATGTTAAAAAATTGGAGTATCCTTAGACCAATCGGAACATTTTTTGCCAAAACTTACAATCTAAATTGTTATTCCAGCGACTAAGAATAAAATGACAACTTACCAAATATATTTCGATTCATTCTGATTTAAGGGCTATTAATACTACTCCTTTGTCCAAATTAAAGTGAAGTGAAATACGGACATGAGAACTTACGGTAGGAAGATAAGTTCTAAATCACTAAACCATCACTACACACTAAATGTTGTTAGCTTCTATGTTATGGCACATATCAATCCATAATCAGTAAAAAATATACAGCTGCACAGGGTATATAAGTTCATTTGAGAAATCCATGTTTTTCCACCACTCAAAGCTTACACTGTTACAAATTTTCTTTTAAAATTATTTTTCCAATACGTATATCCATCAAATAGGTGGAAAAGACACTGTCTCATTTAATTAGGTAGACAATTTTCTAAAACCGGATTAGATATGCCTAAGGGTGATCAACCTGTTTTTTTCAAAATCAGGTACATCTTGTGTATATTAATTACCAGATTGTTGAGATTAAACCACGAGTGTGAGTAAATAAAACAGACCTTGAACATCGAAGCCCAATGTTAATTAAACTTTCTATCAAGCCGGGTTCGGCACAGAAATCGGTTTAAATTGCGACCAAATGCTTGGGTAGCTAAAGCATGAGACACCTATCTACATACCTTTGAGAAACAAACTACTCGGCAGACAACTGATTTGAAAAAATTAGCTGAAAAATAATTGATCAAATAACGGGTAGATCTAACTTAAATATACGAGCACTTATAGAGGTAAATTTCATGAGAATCATAATACCAGCAGACACAGTCCATTTACGCGTAAATTTGTTAGAACACTGACCTGACAGCACAGTAACTTGGATAGTCAATTAAAAGTTGTCAGCTAGATAATCATATGATTAATTTAAGTTTATGCTGTAGTGATGACAGTGATAATCAGTAAGTTTATAAACTAAAAATCTATTCTGGGAGGTATTAAACGCAATTACACTACATAAATGTGATGCACTAATATTGCGCATGCATAACGTTAGATATTCTGAAAGTTATTAAAACTCGAAATGTTAAAGCTTTGCTGAAATAGTTGCAAACATTTTTGCTTTACAAAGATTACTTCTATACTCTTTAAAGTATTCAAATCCCTCAAGGCAAGTGGGAACCTGAAAAGAGGAATCATAAGGAGTTAAATTAGAATAACCATCATGTCACGAGGAGCACCCTGGACATTTCCCACAATTCTACTTAATTTAATGTTATGTAGGTTATAAAAAATGATAGGCATGTCCAACTGGGATACTCACGTTTTTAAAAAACTGAACTATAATACTTCTGTCTTCCGATCTTAATAATTGCCTGGTACGTGAGATCGAGAGCCACAAGCACGAAACACTTTTATTATATTTTTCGATTAAAGCAGCCTGCTGATGGGTTTGATATTGGTAGCAGTCACATGTAGAAGCTGGATGGCATAATAAATTTCTGTTACAGTTAGGTTTATATAAGAACCCACATATCTTCGAGAAAATTCACTTCTGTGTGATTTTCCTGTTTAGTACTGGTTTCATTGATCTTTTTTATGGTTCTGTCACTCATATTTTTGTTGTCCATCGTTGGTGGAAATGATGCTACTGGCTGTCCTAATGTAAATAACTTTTTACTAAATGCTGAAGGTGAGACTACGTATCACGTGATTACCGGTTTGGTATGTGCAAATCCGTTTTATAGGGAGCTTTATAGTGGGCAGGAATATATTTCCGCTGCTTTGTTATAGGTCCGCTGCAATCAGGTCTCGACGTCTTTATACAAGTGTTTCCATGACAAATTTTCAGGACACTCTTGCTAGGCCTATCTACGGAGATAGGCTCCTTTTTTGTCTTCTGTGGAGAGAGAGTTAAGTGTGCTTTTTGAAGAGCTTCTTCTACTTCCCTTATAAGCGCGCTATCAGAATCGACATCATAGGTATTGACAGTTTCTTTGTTATCAACTTGAACCGCAATTTTAGCACATGTGCATTTATTTCCCCTGAAGTTAAATAAAAAAGATTAAGTAAGATACTTATTTGAAAAACGCCTAGAAAGATTGTATACGGTGTTAAAAGATTGTTCGAAACAGTTAAGTTTCCATTCAAGGAGAGAAGCAATATCCATACAGCTGGACCAACTGTTTGAAAGTAAGAATAATAGGGTGTTTTAGACTCCACGTATATAACCTTGGTGTAGGGAGAAAACCATATTCGTTAACAACTACAAGCAAATGGTTATGATTATGACAACATAGGATGACCTTGAAGAGTCAAATCTTCCTCTGTTATACTAACGCAAATGAAAGTGGTGATTTTAAACTTGACTTTTTTCAAGTAAAACAACGCCATATTTATTCCCCGAGACCTGTATATAGGTAGTACTTTTGCGTTTTTTGCCACAAAAGAATTTGATTTTCGTCATATTTCCTCTAGAAATGGAGACGGAGGACAAATTTTTCAGTAGAATTAATCAAATGGTTCAAATGGTTGTGGACTGAATAAAAGAAGCTTTCGCTTAACAGGCTTCCGTATCTAGTAGCAGGGGATCACCAAATCCTCCAGGCAGGAACCTAGGTATGTTAACAATATAAGAGGTAAAGGAACTAGTAAATCATAATGTGATTCTACCCTTAGTCCTTAAGGATAGATCAAGTTGCCTCTTGAAGGACTCCTGGGGAGTCGCTTAGACTAGCTCGGCCGGCAGCGAATTCCAGCATTTGACAACTCATAAGAAGTAGAAGTTGTGTCTACAGTCCGTTCTGCTATATTGTGTCTCCAGTTTTTGGGTGTTACCTCTTAGGTTAGTGTTTGAACTAAGCTTAAGTAGGTGTTTGAGAGGATGTCGAGAAGTGTTAAGGATACTGTAAGCCATTAGGTCACCTCTAATGTGCAAAGGTTAAGTGAATGGTGGCGCTCTTCGTAAGGTTTAAATTTGAGTCCTTGAACTGATTTCGTGGCCCGCCGTTGGATACGCTCCAAGGTGTCCTTATCCTTTTGGAGTGAAGGGGGAAATACTGTGTTTCCGTACTCTAAATGAGGACGGATAAAACTATTGAAGATTATATGAAAAGTTCTTCTGTCAAACTGGCTAAAAATGCGCTTCGAACATTAGCACCTAATGTAACCCCCTTAGTTCTTACAGAGATGAAGTGAACGTGAATTCCTCTTTGGAAAGATCAGTGTAGCGGTAAATAAATCCACAAAATAAATAGCTCTGTAAGTTTTCGACACTGAATACTGACCACATCAGTTTTAATGGACTCACCTAGCTGAAGGCGCTCGATCATGATCCGCACCAGATCACGAATGGGAACAGCTGGGTTGATAGTTTATAAGATATGAAAATAGGTGGTTTTAGTAAGAATCGTGTTCTCACTATCGCAGTTGGCACGCTTTATGAAGGTTGAGTTGAGGCGAGCAGCTGATGGTCGAGAATGAATCCATGTGAAGTTGGAGGCTTCTAGAGACTGCAACCTTATATCCCTGTGGAATATCCGAGGCTTTGATGATGGTGCAGGATGAAGTCACCCGTTCCATACTCTCTTCAGTGGCGTATATCAAGGGGGCGGAAACATGGTGCACGAAAAGACAGGATGAGAAGCGGAGCAGACAATGTTCATGAAAGAATAGTTAACTTATGACTACTCAGTTTAATTCTCTCTCTAATTAAGGTATTTATTGGGAAAGAGCATTCTAACATGTTAAAGGAAATAAGCGTAAACAAGGTATGGGTGGATAAACAACTGGCAAATGGATTTGGTTTAGAAAGAAGATGAAAGTATGGGATTATGTGTAGTCATACAATATAGTGCTGAAAACAATATTCTGATACACAAATAACTGTCCCTCATCTTTTGTCGGGGCTGTTCGAGCCATTTTTTGTAGATTTCATAGAGTCCTGAGCAGGCTTCGTTCTTAGCAGATTGTCTAGTTTGCTTGTAATAGGATAACTCGGTAGGAAGTGAAACCGATTCAGCGTTCTAAACGTGTTTTAGTGAGGGTATTTCGCGTAATAAGTCGGCATCAATACCAATGGTTCGTGACATTCCACTGGATCATATGGAGTTCTGGCCTACAGACATGGATGAATTGAAGTTATTTCCTCACCATCATGTTTGCTAGTCAGTAACGCCACCCTCCCTCCTTTTGTGATGTTAGACTCTCTTACGTTTGTGGTAAGTATGAATATTGCCTTAATCAAAGCCCATATTTGGAATACATTGACTCTACTAGTTCCACGTCACAAGTAAATCAGATAATTAAAGCAATTGTATTATGAGTGACACATCCATTTAGTATGTCACACTGCTATGTAGATAAATAATGGTAAAAGTAAAAAAAGGTTGAATTATATGTGGTTTAAAGATGGTAAGACTAATGGCAAATCATAGGATATGAGAGATTATAAGATTGTAAAATATTGAAGGTAATAAAAATAAGACATTGAGCAACTCACAAGAATTTAGAAATATTCATCTATATGTAAATGAAGTTACATGGACGCTCAATATTACTTACATAAACTTTATCAAGTAGATCAGATAAGCTTTCCTATTTAAATTGAACACATTTACTACGTAATGCCTTATAGTGTGGTCTATCTTTGTGGAGACGTTATTTGTTCCGAAAATGACTTCAATCACGTTGAATTATTGCACTTGACTTTAACAAGGAAGGTATAAGGATTTTAGCATGTGACAGGCAAAATGGGCGTGTCCGTGGACAGACTGTAGTAGGCTGACTTTTTTAAAACTCCACTAATCAATCGTGTCTGTCACTTCCATCAGAATGTCTTTCGGAGGTAAGTCCTTACAGCTTAGTAATCAAGCTTATCGAGATGGTGGCGAAGATTCGTAGCTCAAGTGGATGATGTTCTCTAAGCTGGAGAACGAAACTCCACCAAATCAAGCTAGTTACCCATTTCAAGCCCCTAGAATCAGCACCCAATTTTTAATCATCATTTAGAGAGAAGGAATAAAGGACAGTACGATCATCCAGCATTGATGGGTGGGAGAAATTCATTTTGGGAGCTTTCTAGAATACAGAGCTTGACCAGTTCAAATGCACTTATCAGTGCTTCTGCAACGATAGACCGAATCCAACATGGTGAATTTGTCATGATGTGATGGCCCAATTTGTGTGAACTAACATCATTGTCAATACTCACTCGTCCTATCGTGGTCAGTAATGCATGTAATGATCTTTAAGAAACACGTATGAGCTGGAAGTGGAACAGTATATTTGATGTGAAGACCGAAAGTTTGCATGGAGTAACCATGTCTGTATGGCCGAGCCATGCCATCTTGACGAAGTATTCCTGTGTTGACGTTTTTGGCCCTCTACAAATATAACTCTTTCGATTATTGTGTGTTCATCCTCAGAGATTATATGGCTAGAAATCGGTGTTAATAAAACCTCCCTGGTAGCCTTAATAAGTGAACTGGTCGGGAGAGCCGAGTTTATAGGCGTCCTTCAAAAAGCGTTTACCAGACAATAGATACGGAATAACTGCGCGCTGCGCAAGACGTCTCAGTGAACTTTTCCGCAAGACAAAATTTCAGGGGCTCTGTGACAGTTATAAACATAAAGAACAACCTCACTACCTGCTGTGTTAAATTTGTTGGAATTCTTAAGAAGAGCGTTTGATGTTTGTGACATCTTTGGCAAGCCAAGGTTTGTAGATGGTCACAACTGATTGATCATTGGGTGGTGATCAATGTCATATGTGTCATGTCACTCTTTGTGCAGATCGAGTGCTATCGGCCAAGTTGCATTTCGGCCATTAGTCTAAGTGCCTCGACATTGTGTGCACTATGATGAGATAAGATGGTGATTGGAAGTGAATAAATCTTGGCCCCACAAGAGGTCACTCGCCGCCCGGATAGGCTGGTGGTAGCGTCTCTGGCTATAAAGCTGGGCGACACAGGATCGAATACGTCATGGAGGACCGGTTCTCTCAAGATTACAGGTACATCTAGCTGACGAGTGCCAAACAGAAGGAAACCCGGGTCCACAGTTTCCTGTTGATTACCTCCAACCACCGTTTGTAGATGGTCTTTAAACATGGAAGTCTGCTGCGCAAAAGTTCCTTGAGCCCGGTGATTTGCTATAGTAACCCTCTGACGCCACTATATAGACAGTCAATAAGTGCGGCACAATTTCAGAGCACTACTTGGACATGGTGAGTCACGTTGAAAGTGACATTTTCATGTAGCTTAATTTTTCTTAGATGAGCTGATTTACCTATGTTTTTCAGAGCAATGTTTGTTTGTATTGTCTGTTATTACACAAACATTTGGAGTAATTTAATAGAGTTCTAAGTCCAGACTTCTCTACTTAATCGTTCAGTTGTCAGTTGCAAGCTGATTAAGGAACCTCACAGTAGACTTATTATTATTATTCACAAACATTTTACGGGTACATAAGTGTTGTGAAGAAACCGTTTCGGGTTTCTTTAAAAATGCAAAGATAATAAGTTCCAATAATGTTGTCATTATATTTGCCATATTTGAAAAAAGACATTAATAATAATAAACCAGGTTTTGTGTAATTGAGAAGAATATTGAGTTGAGCTTAAAGAAGGAAAGGAAGAAAATAAGGGAATAGAAATAAAGGAGATGTGAAATATGCAAATAATTTAATAGGCACGTTTATGAACATAGAACAAGAATAAACGACCATCCATGTATCGTCAAATTAGTAGCGAAAATAAAATAGACAATAACTAAGAAAAAATAACTTATTATTACAGTAAGATATGACGCCAGAATAAACGTTTGTGCAGTCATAGTTTGGAGTGATCAGGTGAAAAGGATAACGAAATATCAACATGTACGAAATATATATGCATAGTGAAGATAAAACGAGTCTGAGAAGTTAAGTGTAATACAAGTTATTGTCTTAGTTACAAATGTCGTAGTCTTAAGGATAATATTTATTTAGAAGGGAAAAAGAGAGAGAAGAGAAGTGAACACCTAGTGAAAGGGTTCAACCATAATAATAATTTTGTCATAAATACCGACCTCTGAAGTAAACCGACAATTTAGAAAAATAAAATAAACCCTTTAGTGCACTCGGATAAATACATGTAGACTTATGAAATAGTATGCAGAGTGAAACCGGATA